GGTCGTTCGTTAACGGAAAAGTTCGTTAACGGAAAAGTTCGTTAACCGAAACCATTGTTTCAATGGGTTTTTGGGTAATTGGTTCGAGCTCACCGAAAATTTCCTAAATTCAACAAAAATGGTAGAAAAGTTCACTTACTTTGAGGTGTGTATGTAGAAGGCTCCTGGATGATGATGATGATGATGGGAATTAGAATGGGGGTGGAGGAGAAGGAAGAAGAGAAGGCATTGGGGTGGAAGAGAAGTCACCCCATGGCACCATTTCACCCATAAAATTTTAGTTCTCTTGGTGTAAGTCAAGATTATTTTCTTTAAATCAACACTGCACTGCATTATATATTGTCAATATGTAAAATATATTTCAAAATGACCAATAATTTGCTTGGAATCACAGAAAAAAAGCGTTTAGTTGAAGAGAGTCTCAAGCAAGATGTTACCTCCAGTGAAAACAGAGAGAGACTTACGCCTGTTTGCTGTGTTAAGAGGCTGGATGCCGCGCATTAAACTAGTCACTTTACCTTCAATTATGTTCAATAATTGTTAAAATGACTAAAAAATTGAATATTAAACTTTTAAAATTATTGAATAGTATAAACTTCTTGATATTTACTAAAATAGTAAGGAATTTAAGCCCTAGAACCGATTAATGTATTGGCGGACTGATACTAAAGCTGGTTGCCCGGTCAGTGCAAGCAAAAACATGTTGAGGTCGGTTCGTAAGAAATTCGTTAACCGAATTTTTGTTCGTTAACCGAATTGAAGATCCATATGGAAGGCAGTTCGTTAACCGAAATTTCGTTAACCGAGGCGCTCGTTAAACGAGGGGTCACTGTATATATACAGTAGTACCCCGATTTACACGGTCAATTGAACCCACAGGGTACCGCGTTAGTGAAATCCGCGTAAATGGAACAACAGAACATATGGGATTAGTTCCAATAGAGACTGGCCCGACCCCCAAACTCTACTTTTTCCGATACAATACCTATGTTCTAGTAAAAACAACATCTTAATTTTATGATGGTACATGCACACAATTAATACTTAAGAGAAATAGAGAAATACAGTCGCCAAGTTAATGTCCATTCAAATAATGGACTCAACTCCCTCCCCCTCTTCTCACACTACACTGCTGGCTCTTCCCTCTCTGAGAAATTTTGGGGGGAAAACCACTAGATTTTAATAAATAATACCTCAATCTAAAGTTAGGATAATATAATTGACATTGCTGGATTCCTTGTAAGACCAGGAATATTTTGAATATAAATGTCATATATTTTGCACAAAAGGTAACATATTTACTCAGAGTAAACATTTTATCTAAAATTTGAATGTCTAATGCAAAATCTATGATGTTTATATCATCAGATTGTAAGAATTCCAGCAATGTAAATTATATTCTGGCCGGGTAATTTGTATGAATTTTATGAGCTAAAACAAATATCTTCAGTTAATAAAAAAAAAAAATATTCTTCACGACACTATCTGTCAATCAAAGTACCCCACCTTGCCTCCCCCCCTCTTCCAACCGCGCCAGATGGGCGGTCCGTCCCAACCCTCCCCCCCACCCCCCACCAACCCTCCCTACAAGAGATATGTTGGGTGAAAAACTAGATTTTAACATTTAGTATTAAATAATACCTCACACAAAAGTTAGGATAATATTATTGACATTGCTGGATTCCTTGTAAGACCAGGAATATTTTGAATATAAATGTCATATATTTTGTACAAAAGATAACATATTTACTCAGAGTAAACATTATATCTAAAATTTGTATGTCTAATGCAAAATCTATGATGTTTATATTCAAAATGATCATCAAATTGTAAGAATTCCAGCAATGTAAATTATATTCTGGCCGGGTAATTTGTATGAATTTTATGAGCTAAAACAAATATCTTAAGTTAATAAAAAAAATAAAATATTCTTCACACCGTGCCAGATGGTCGGTCAGTCCCTCCCTCCCCCCCACCCCCCCACCCCCCACCAACCCTCCCTACCAGATGTGTGGGAAAACCAGAATATTTACCTTTTTAGTAATAAATAATACCTCAAACTAAAGTTAGGATAATATAATTGACATTGCTGGATTCCTTGTAAGACCAGGAATATTTTTAATATAAATGTCATATATTTTGCACAAAAGATAACATATTTACTCAGAGTAAACATTATATCTAAAATTTGTATGTCTAATCCAAATCTATGATGTTTATATTCAAAATGATCATCAAATTGTAAGAATTCCAGCAGTGTAAATTATATTCTGGCCGGGTAATTTGTATGAATTTTATGAGCTAAATAAATAAATAAATATATTATACTTCACCGCGTATATGAGTAGATGAACCGCGTTAAATGAAAGTTCGGTTCTGGCAAGGCACCGCATATATGAGAAATCGCGTTAAGTGAAACCGCGTAAAGCGGGGTAATACTGTATATATATTCTTCTTTCCTTGTGGTTATCAGCATATATCTGGATCACGCGCACCCACAGTGATTTACTTGCATATACAGTATTACCCCGCTTTACACGGTACCCTGCCAGACCCGGAATGCTCACTTTACGCAGTGCATGTACTCTTTTACGCGGAGAGCGGCGCTGGTAGGGTGCGCACAAGGTCGCCCAGTCATCAAAACATTACCCAGTTCTTCACCCGCCACCCACCACAGCTGGCCCAAGTCAGTGATAGTGAGGATATGGACTTATACGGACTTTGAGGGGTTTGACAAAGAGGCCCTGCATGCCTCTGTGGTGGATAGTGATACAATTGATACAAGTGATACAGGTGAGGGCCAATAATCTGCCCTCTGCCTCAGAACCAACCCCCCATCCCCGTGTGCCCAGCCATCTTTTCTACTAATGTAAGTGTTAAAAAACCTAATATTATTGATATTTCTCTGAATTATTAATTGTGTGTGCATACCATCATAAAATTAAGAAGTTATTTTTACTACATCGTAGATATTGTGTCTGAAAAAGTGGAGTTTGGGGGTCGGCCCGTCTCTATTTCAATTAATCCCATATGTTATGTTGTTCACTTTACGCGGGCCGCCGTGGGTTCAATTGACCTCGTAAAGTGAGGGTTCGCTGTACAGTATTACCCAGCTTTACACGGTTTCAGGTTTCACTTTCCGCGATTTCTCATTTACGCGGTACCTTGCCAGGTACCTTGCCAGAACCTGACTTTCACTTTCCGCGGTGCATCTACTCATATACGCGGTGAAGTATAATTTATTTTTTATTTTTTTTTATCTTGCTCATAAAATTCATACAAATTACCCTGCCAGAATATAATTTACATTGCTGGAATTCTTACAATACGATGATCATTTTGAATATAAACATCATGGATTTTGCATTAGACATACAAATTTTAGATCTAATGTAATAATTTGGTTTACACAAAGCAAATATTTTATCGTTTGTGCAAAATATATGAAGTTTACATTCAAAATATTCCCTGACCTGCAAGGAATCCAGAAATGTCAATTATATTATCCTAACTTTAGTCTGGGTTTTTATTTATTACTAAAAATGTAAATATACTATTTTCTCCCAATCGCTTCTCTGGTAGGAGGGGGCGTGGGGGGTAGGAAGGGAGGGAGGGCGGAGGTGGGGTATTTTGATTGACAGATAGTGTCCTTGAAGAATATTTCTTTGTTTATTTACTGATGATATTTGTTTTAGCTCATAAAATTCATACAAATTACCCGGCCAGAATATAATTTACATTGCTGGAATTCTTACCATATGATGATCATTTTGAATATAAAGATCATGGATTTTGCATTAGTCATACAAATTTTAGATCTAATGTAATAATTTGGTTTACACAAAGCAAATATTTTATCTTTTGTGCAAAATATATGAAGTTTACATTGAAAATATTCCCTGACCTGCAAGGAATCCAGAAATGTCAATTATATTATCCTAACTTTAGTCTGAGGTATTATTTATTACTAAACGTTAAAATCTAGTGTTTCACCCAATCATTTCTCAGAGAGGTAGGGGCCAGTGAGCTGGGAAGAGTGGGGGGGGATTTGAGTCCATTATTTGAATGGACATTAACCTGGCGACTGTATTTCTCTTAAATATTAATTGTGTGAGCATACCATCATAAAATTTAGATGTTATTTTTACTACAACATAGGTATTGTGTCGGAAAAAGTGGAGTTTGGGGGTCGGGCCAGTCTCTATTGGAATTAATCCCATATGTTCTGTTGTTCACTTTACGGGGTTTTCACTTTCCGCGGTACCCTGTGGGTTCAATTGACCGCGTAAATCGGGGTACTACTGTAATTGTGGCTAACCCACACAAGTGTGGAAAATGACCAAAAAAAAGTGATGATGATAATGGGTATCTCTCTTAATCATGTAAACCTCATCCTTTACATATTTTCCAATAGGATTATTAAGAAAATAATCAATTCTGGAGGACATTAGAGAATTCACACTTTGGTGGATTACACTTTGTAAAAACTGTTTGATGGAGAATAAAATTCAAAGAGAAAATAATATTTAGGAAGAGAAGGGTAGTGTAAAATTTTGTAATGTGACAGGGAATAAAACAAAGTGTACTTGAATTTAGGCTACAAATATGAGTTTCCTGAGAGCATCTTCATTGAGTGGAAAGTGTAAGAAATTAATATATTTGATGGTTGCTTTGGTTTAGAGTTTAGAGAATGTGTGTTATGAAATGTGTAGTGGTTAAACTGAGGAAATTGTATGATATTGACTTATGAAATGTATGCTGGAGGGTAGGATGGCATAAAGGGTATGGAGTACTGTATAGAGATACTATAGTGGGTGTTTTGAGTAGAAGGAGACAACCTACTACGTATAAAAAGGTGTAGTAGCACACTAAGAAAACGATATAAGTTTTGAAGGCTTACGAATCTGATAGTTATTGGATGACCCTCAGAATCTTTATTGACTGCCTTAACAGAGGAACTCCATAGGTGAAGGAATTGCAGATGAGAAGATTCCTGGATGGTATTTGTGGGTATTGACTGGTATATGTGTGTCACATATTCTGGAACATTGATAGTGTCATAAATTATTGTACTAAATACTTTTCAGGATAATAGGAGTGATTATGGGAGAACTTTTGTATGCACTCTCTATCAAGAATGATCAAGATCAAACGCTCTCAAAAAAAGAGAGGGATATACAGGTCATGAATGGTGAACTGAACAGTTGTCATATATTACTGGAAGTTGTCAGAGAAGAAGAAAAACACAAAAAGGAACGGTTTGACGAATTAAAGGAGTCTCTTGTGAAGTTGAAGGCAGAACTTGAGAAGGCAGAACGTGAGAAACAATCTTCAAGGACAAGTATGTGGAATATGTTTTGGCAGTTCAAATTGCCCTTTCAATTACATATTTAGGTAATAATTTATTGAAATTAGGTACTTTTCAGTGCATTCTCAAAATTTACTTCTTACATTTTAAAGAATATCAGTGCTTTGAAGTGTGTACTGTAGCTTATGCCATTTTTTTAAATATGCTCAGATAATAAGAGATTTCCTTCAACCTCATATTTGACCTGTGCACAGGGGCAAGTAGACTCTGGGTCCGGTGTTTAAAGAGGTGTTGGTCAAGTCATAGAGTGGAGGAAGGATGGGGTTAATGGGAGTATAAGCATGGTGAGGTGGTGTTACCAGTTCTGGGTTTTTTCACAACGAGCATGTTTTTGAATAGTTCTTATATTTTTACTTACCTAGTTACTTATCCTCTTTGCCATTTGCTATGTGTCAACTTTCTAGCTGGTCAGGCAATTACTGTACAGTAGTCTGTTCTGTGTTATTCACTGTTGCCAAGTACTAGGCATATACGGTCACTTGTTTTTATTATATTAAAGTGTTTGCCGTCGCTAGGCTTCATTTCAGTATTGATTGAGAGTTCAACAGAGCACAATGAATATTTTCAATCTATTTCTGATGTTTTTCACTGAAATTTTGTGTCCAGAACTGGAACCCACACACCATGTCCACATACCTATCAAGCACCACCCAGTTTCAGATTTTTTCTTTATATGCTTTCCTAATACTTGTACTTGAATAGCAGTGAAACAAATACAGTAGTCATTGTAAGATCTCCTGACTTGTAGAGTTTTCTTCATTTGTTAAATTTGCTTGTGACACCTCTGAAAGGCATTGTTCTTGTTATGTTTCAACTTCTCCCCAAACAGATACCAAAGTCCTTAACTTTTTCCTTTTCTTTTCCCAGGCGAGATTCATCTGACTCAGAACAATGAATATGGTCTTGGTAGACTGCTAAAGGATGTCTTCTCGCTGGCTCTGGCTTACTTGAATGGAAATTTATTATTAACAGGTTTTGCACTGTTGTAATTTTTTGTTAAAGCTCAGTGGGTTTTTTTAAGCACTTGGAATGACCCCATCATTAGTGTCTTAATTACATCTTTAACTTTGGATGTCGGCATGGTTGACACACCTGATGTTTCCACTGTTGTTGGAGTTTTTACACTTTATACCATATAATAATAACTTATGTTTTTAGATGTGATATAATTACACAAACAGGTATCCACTTATAGAATGATCATTTACTAACAGTACAGGGAAAAGGTCTTGACACACAGTAGCAAGATTTGGCACAATTGAATTAACCCTTCCAATGATATTCTCACACCCTATGTAGTAAACAATGAGAGTATGGTCACCGCACCATATACGGTAACAATTATCCCACCACACTTTGAATCTTCTTGCCACTTAGACTCATCCCCGTTGATGTACTGGCATGTTGGGAGGTGGCTACAAACTACAAATTATCTCTAGGCCTGCCCGCATCTTCTCAGTCACGACCAAGAGTAGACATGCGTCCCGAGTGCCCAGGAGAAATTGTGATTGTTTGGTAGTGATGTAACAATGGCATGAATGAGTATTTCTCGCCAAGCATGAGCCAATCGCTGTGGCCTGTGAGCAGAGCCGTCCCTAGGGTATGGCAACCGGTGCGACCACCCCAGGCCCAGCGGCCCTTACCTCACCCAACACCAGAATTAGTAACTACGTTAACCTGACCTCACCTTACCAAACAGATTCAGGAGACCACCTGAAGGATTAGCGACCAATACAGTTAGGCAATGCATCTGCTGACTTGAGGTCAAAGGTAAGATTAAGCCACCCCATCTTACCACCCAGACTGAGAACAATGTTATATTTTACTGTGCTCTCTGTCGAAGAGGAGTGAGGACGTTGACAGTGGTTGCCTGTCAGTGTTTGCTGAAACTCTGAATCTCCAATTGTCTGTGATTTGTGTTTTGTGAAATTGTTGTATATATTATTTTACTATCGTACTCAGCCCTCATTTTTTTATTATACCATGGCCAGCAGGGATAGAGACAGATACAGAAAATACAGAGAAAAGGCAGAAAAAAAAGGAAGAGAGAGAAATAGCAATGTCAATGAAAGGTTCCCAAGAAAAATATATGCTTTCAAAAACATCAGAAAGTAGTGCAAAAAAGGACCTGAGTAACTGTGGCGGTGATAGTGTGGGTCAAATTCAAGCTGAGGAAGAGGAGAGTACTGAAAAAATACTAAGGCTTTTAAAATGGCCAGTTCTACCTATGTTAACGGTCATGCTGATGAAGATCTATGTGATCCAGCCAACTGGCCACATTTACTGGACAATACGACAAACGATATTTTGGGAGAAAGGGGACTTGTTAAGGTATCTAGTGAAAATTATTTGTTTCCAAAAAATGGTGAAAACTGACACTTTTCAGACGACTTTTACATGCAAAGATTGCCAAAAGGGGGAAATATATGAAACATGTTATAACATAGTAAATTACATTATACTTGGCATAGTAATAGTGTGATTGGGGAATTAACAATATGCATATTACAGTGTGTATGATGTCAAGGTAGGTAGATACCAGGTAGCCTCACGCAGGCCCATAGGAATTCACTAATTGGCAACTCTTCTCTCGAGATCGCTGAGCCACGCCCCTTTTGCCACTTCACGCGTTTGTAATATTGAGGTATTATTATCTGCTTCTACTGTTTGATGTAACTAAGTGGGCGGAGCTTAATAAGTGATGTCATCGCTAGCCAATCAGCGACGGATGGAATCCAGCGGTCGCAAGTGTCACAAGCAAGATATTTATATTTATTTTATATATTTAATCAGTGGCTCCAATTAAAATAAAACAAAAAATCTCCATTCCATACATTTATTGTACAACTTTTAATACCATCATAAGCCTTCAAAAATACGTATATAAAAATTTCATTTTTATTTTCATTAGCGTAGATCCTATGGGAGTGAGGCTACCTGGTATCTACCTACCTTGTATGATGTAACTATAAAAATTATATATATATATATATACACAGTCGGCCCTTAACATACGCGGGGGCTACGTAACAGAGATACCCGTGGATGTTAAAAATCCGCGTGTATGTGCTGGCCCCCCCCAAAAAAAAACCCTGGCCCCCCATGTCCTTATTTACCGTATATACCTGTGTGTAGTTCGAGTTTTTAAGACCAAATTATTTGCCAAAAAATTGGGGGTCGACCTCTAAAAGGGTAATAGTTTCGTTAGGTTGAAAAATATTTCTCAGTAACTACCAGTAAACAATGGAAACGATGCACCAACGCACCACCAGCTGTGAGTGTCGGTACAGTTGCCAGGGCAGATCTCTTGCGTCATCATAGCAAGCCCAAAGTAGCCAAATCCATGGTATTGTAGGGTTTCGTGGTATAATGTGGTCTAGCACTCAGGATGGATGGAAACTCTAAGGTGGTTTTCTTGTATAATATAAGTTATATGATAGACAGTCTGGTGCTGGAGGTGCCGTGTGGTGAGGAGCTGCTCAGTAGACACGTTCGGTGAGTAGCGTGTTGAAGGAGGTAGATGTGCAGGAGCTTCGTTAGAGAAGATGTTGCCTGTTGCTGGCCTCCTGGTTGAATGAAAGCTGGACAGCGAGGAGCTTGCTGGGAGGAGGTGTTGCGTGTTCAGGAACCGAGAGCAGAATAAGAGCTGGTTGGTGAGGAAGCTCAGAGAAGGACAGCTGGTGGGTCGTCATGCTCGCTGGCGGGACCGAGGACCGCCAGGCAGCGGCGGAGGAGGTGTTGCTTGTTCAGGAAGAATGGCCAGAATGAATCTCAATGGAGAGACAGAGCTTATATACCCAGCAGCCGTGAGTCATGTAGGGAAAACCCGAGAAGTAACCGGTCTTTGGCTCCGTTGCTAGGATACTGCGGCATCTGGTGACGGCGCCGCCTGGGCCGCTAGTTTGGTTGCTAGGGCAGACGTCGCAGGTGGCCTGCAGCTACGCAGTTGTAGGGGAGACGTCCACTACAGTATGGTAGCACAGGTCGATGTAAA